AACAGAATAAACCATTATCACACAGTCTATTGGCTACCCTTCAGTCCCCAATTCTGGTGCTCATTTCATTTCAGTAGAAAGTCTTCCTTTCAAGAATTATAGGAGCTAGAACATCAATCAAAGTCAAGTAGAACTTGATGCTTAATGATTTCATTACTATTTGTTACGTCTGTTTTGTGTTTTTATGTTGTTTTTAACATTGCTTTGTTATGAAAGCTCTCTAATTCTCTCTAATTCTCTACCCCACGAGGTGGAGGTAAGGTCTGGGTACACGCTACACTCCCCTCCCCAGACCATACTTAGTGGATTTACACTGGGCATGTAGCTCTTGAGCTAGGCCTATAATTAATCCTACATGGCTACAGCAAAGATATATGGACTTGCTGCTATTCAATTATTAAACTAGAATGTGCTCAATGGGTACAATTCTACCAAGGAATCAGGAATAAATACCGAAAACCGCAACTACAAAAACTATATATCAGCAAACCAGAGGAGCAAATTAAAAGCTCGATAGATTCATGTACTGGATAACTATACGACGCGTCATTTCATCTAGTTTCTGAACAAAGTTAAAACACATTAATATGACAATAGAACGTTTGATTACAGCGAGATTTCTGAACTTCGATGGGAAAATATCAATTTAAGTAATGAACAGTATTGAATGGGTACTTTAGTATCACACAGTAAATCAATAAGAAATCAAAGAGGCGGAAATAAGAAGTAATACCATTTTCGCAGGCCGAGAGATTAGACAGAAATACCAGAGAGCACAATCGCCGTTCAGCTGGTGCCGATCTAAAGCCCTAAGATACGAGAAAATGGTAACTTTTTATACTCCGACTTAGGGTTATGAACGACTTGGCGGTGCGGGTGGGCTCTGCTTGTGGGCCAAATCTATTGGGCTATAGTTAAGAATACTTTATTGGGCTTAATATTGTATGGACTAATTAGCAGGCCTCTTACATGTGAGTTGTTGAATCTCCTTGATAGTTAGGACCCGCTCTCCTTGTAGGTTGGGAAAGGGCCGGGTGAATTACCTTTGGAGCTAAGTCGAAGATCTCGGTGGTCTTAATAGAAAAAGAAAAGGGTAGCTATTTTTGCGGATAGAAGGTGACAGATAAATTGTATTCAGAAATTATTTTAGGTTATTTGTTCAAATTATAACTATAGTATTTTAGAATTTTCTAAAATCTGTTTATTTAAATGTCTAATGCCGCCACTATTGAGTGTTGATGTTCCATTGTTTAGAACATATAAGTATTGGTTAGTTGTTACAACACGTATCGGCTACAGTAAATAATTTTATTTTTAGACTCAAGTTGAGCATAATCGAGTTCTTTCTTTAAAAAAAAAAGGAGTAAAGTCGTGTACTGCGTATTTCAATATTTGGAAAAGAAATTTTCCATTTGAAATCACATGTACTCTTATCAAGAGTTTGAATGGCAACGTGAGGAGCCTTGTGTTTGTTTTGTGTACAAATTTTGCCACTTGAATTCATGGGAAGAAAAGAAAAATCATGCGAAGAAAGGGGCAATCTTAAAATAATTAATAATTGAATCTCGAGTTTAATTCAACCTTATAAATTAGTTTATTAGGGGGAAAAAATTCAATTTTTTAAAACCTAGCACAATTTAAATCATATTCGAATAAATTTGGATAAGGTAGAAATTATTTGAAGTTTGATTTGGGAATTGATCAATTTGAATATTTCAGTTTTTTTTTTATATTTTTGGTAAGGGAGGTTTTTTGGAGTTGCCTAAAGGCTAGAGGGTATAAGTGGTGTACACACCAGGGCAATGAAGAACATATATGATAAAATCAAGACTAGAGTAAAAACAGTGGGAAGAGACATAGATCACTTTTAGCTTTGATAGGTGGCATCAGACATCAACACTTAGCATGTATTTATTTGCCTCGATAGAGGATACATTGACGAGACATGCTCAATGTGATGTGTATGGTGTATGTATTTGGTTGATGAGACTAGCGATCGTCGTTAAAGCTAAGCTAGAGTTTTGAAGACAAACTTAGAATCTAGAGATTTCACATTGGTTAGAACCAAAATAAAATATTTGAAGTGTAAGTTCATTTTGATGTAACACATAATGTTGATGTGTAGTCAGACAAGAGAGACAAAGTTTCAAGTATCTTGGATCTATTATCAAAGAGAATAGTAAGATCGATGAAGATATCACACGTCATATTGGCGTAGAGAAATGAAATGGAAGCTAGCATATGAAGTCTTCGTGTTATAAAGAAATTGTCATAAGAATTCAAAGACAAATTCTACACATTGATGATTAGATCAACTTTATTATACAAGGTGAAAGTATTGACCAATTAAAACTCTTACAATTAAAATATGTAAGTTATAGAAATAAAAACATTATGATGAACTTTTAGACATATTATGAAAAAAAGAGATTAAAAATGATGATTTTATGAGACTAAAGTTTCGTTGATCAACACGAACAATGATTTTCTATGTATTTAATAGCGTGTGTTCTTCTAGTCTTATGGAGATCCTCCTATATAGGCGTAAGGTGGGGTTTTAGGGTTATTTTGGTTCAAGTAATTTTAGAGGACTCTGGGTTTGAAGAACATGAGTTGGACTCGTATTATCAACTTAATTGACGAGCCCAAATCTAATTTAAACTTTATTTAAGTCATATAATTTTGACTAAAAATATTAATGCAACTTTATTAACCAATAATTTGACTTGATCAATATATTATGAATTTATTAATAAGATGATTGTAAAGTATCAAATTCGATATCCAATTCAAAATCAAAAGCTTGTAAGATAAAATCAAATATCCCATCTCCAAATCAAATATCTAAAAGAATTCAAAAATATGATTCGAATTTCAAATTGGTCCAAAACTATGCCCACCCACTACAACATTAATAATACTTTGTCCAAAGAATGGATCCCTCATGCTTAGAGGCTCCCCCGCAGAAGAACCTTACAAAAGGGTCCCACCACAAAGTGGAGTGGTCTCAACCGGCTGCTTTGAAGGGTTAATACTAATAATGTTCACATGCGTGTCTACTCGTACTTATATTTTTTTTTGTTTTTCACTCGATGTTCGATATTTGACTAAATTTGAATTCATGTTGAAAAATCTCACATTGAGGATAAAGCGCTTCCTAACAAATCGATTTCGTATTCAAGAGGGTTCGAACCTAGACCTCTTAGTTAAAAATAAAGGAATACTTACCACTCCATTACAATCCTTATTGGTCACTACTTATACTTACTGACTCATCTTCCATTGGCACCACCTCACCCGGAGATCCTTATCATCTCTCCCTTCTCATTTTTCCAAAATTTCCTCGTGGATTCTTCACGTCTCTTCCATCTCCTTTTTTCCCTTTTCACTATTCTCTCCCCCATTCCAACTTTTTCTTTTACCTCCTCAATATTCGGTATCATTTCTAATTCAAGCGAAGATATTTTTTACTAAGGATATTTCTATAGCAAAAATCTTAAATATGAGATATCTGGTTAAGATATTGCTATGATTTATGAGTATCATTCCACGTCAAGTTTTATATAAAAAGGAAGCTTTTAAAATTTAAATCTATCTATGCTAGTGTGAGGTAGATATGTTAATCACTTAAATAAGTTATATGAATAATGTAAATTAAATTATTTTAAAATTTATGATGTATCTGTTTAGAACAAATACAATAAAGAGAGAATCATTTTAAAACGAAAGGGTAAGGAATACTAATAAAAAAGTATTGCTTGAGAGCTTGGATTCCACTTGTAAATGTCATATTTTGGGTGGATGATTGTTGGCCTAGGACCGACCACCACCTGCAGACAAGAACCCCTTTGGAAGTAACTATGGCATCATTTATTCATTTACTATAATGCCCTTTTCTTACCCCTTTAACCACTCACCCAAAAATTTATAGATTTTACTAGTTTGTCTCTTAATAAAAATAACTTTGAAGCAATGACAGTATTTTTTCTTCTTTGAACTTAAAATACTATTTTCTCTCTTAATTTATGTGACATATTTTAAATATAAATAAGTTTATTTTTTATCATAAAATTTTCATAAATCTTTTAAATATTTTGGATTGTCAATTATTGTGACTTATAATATTTTTTACATACTTTACAAATATATAAATTTCATTTCAAGAAAATTAAAGATTTTACGCGTAAATTTCTAATCATACTTAAATTGATTGACTCTCAAAATATAAAATATGTCACATAAATTGAGACGGAAGGTATAACATTTTCTTCTTACATGTTAGATAGTGAAGCTAATTTCATCCACAATCTAAAATGTTTGGGGTTATATGTCTATCTTAGTATTAATTTTATCCTTTTGAGAGACAGGTATTGAAAATATTTTTGAACTTGACGCAAATTATTAATTTTATCCTCAAATTATTGTTATCATAAAACACTCATCTACTTGACTGAATTTAAATACATCTCAATTTTGCAACTTGAATGAAAGATACTCCTAAGTTCTCGTCAATTTTAGTGATACTTTTAACACTTCTCTCGACTTTTTTTTAAGAGTCTCATTCTTCTACAAGAGTTTGAGAACGCTTGCTATGTCATGTGACAAATCAGGATGTATTAAATTAAGTTAGTCAAATAAAGTGGTGTTCTTAAAATTGTCAATAGTTCGAGGATGAAACTAATAATTTGCATCAAATTCAAACGTCTTTTCAATACTTCTCTTTTTTTTTTTGTAATGATTTTCTTTTGCATTTTACTATAATATATTTTTTCTTAAGTTTCGATTATTATATTATTTTGTTATTGTCACTTTTCGTTGTAGTTGCTATAAAAAAAAATTTAATGTTATTTTCCCTTTTCATATTCAAAACTTCCAATTTATGTAGAGGTTCATGCGGGAAAAAATGCAGATTTAATGGAGGGGAGGGGTAAAAAGGTAAATTAAAGGGATGAGAAGGTAACGGAAATAGAGTAAATAAATTAGTGGTGGGAAAAGGAAAAGAAAGCTGCCAAAGACAGAGTATATGAAAGAGAAAGACAAGGGAAAAGGAAAGAAAGGAAGATTTCTTCAACGAGTGAGTCTTGTGATTGTATCACCAACACCAATACCAATACCAATACCCAATACCAACGCCAAAACCAACAAATGGAATCGTTTTTCTTAACCGAAACCTTTCCCCACAACTATTACACCTCCACCACCATCACTTCTCCCCATCTACTATTATGCTCCCATTCTTCTCTCTCTTCTTTCTTCCTCTTTTTTATATCTAATTTCGAGGTACCTATTTCCTTTTTTTCTTGTTTTCTTGAGTTTTTATCAACATCTTGTTTCTTGAGTTTTCTTTTCTTTTTATCAACATTTGGGACTTGGGGTTTTCTTGTTTCTTATGTTTGAAGGTGGTTCTTGAGTTTTTATCAACGTTTAGGACTTGGGGTTTTTGGTGTTTGACGGATCGATCCATCTATAGGGGTATTTTCTTGATTCATTCTTGGGGTTGAGTTATAGATTTTGGAGGTTTTTATTGAGATGTTGTTGAATACTGAGGTTGTTGGATTAATCTTGTGCTATAATTTCAGGAATATGTTTGGAGAAGGTAGTAGTGGCAACGGTCTATTTCCGGCTTCATTAGAGGGGAATCGTTTCCAGTATAATGTGGCTGCATTGCCTCAGCTGCAGCTGTTTGGGGATGGTAAGTTTCCCATATGTACAGCTGACTCCAATTAGGATTTCTGTTTTTGCAATATGATACTCAATAATTTGGTTCGTGAATTTGCTCTGTTTGTCACGAATCTGGATGATTGATTGTTAATAGAAGCTCTATTTTATTTTTTTGGGGTTTCCTTTTGTGTTTGGATTTCCACATTCAGCATTCTCATCCCTAACTTTTAAGCTTGAGCTGTGAAGTCTGACTAGGGTGTTGAATCGGTTTTAGAAGATTGTTATGAACTGACCTGTATTTGTGTTACAAAGACTTCTGATAATCTAACTGGGCTGGGCTTGTATTGCGCCCGTGCTTAATTAATTAGAGTTGATCCAGGGCATATGTGGAGAGCGCCTTTTCTTCATGGTCGTTCAGTACCTCGATGCCTAAAGCATGCGGTGAGACACTAGGATTGGTGAGTTACTAGGTGTCTAATCCATAAATTTTAGATGAAATTAGAACAAACAAATTGCAGCTTAGCTCATGCTAATGATGACCTGCAATGCAGCATCTCTTCACATCTTTAGTCTATCCTGTTAAAATATAAAGTGGGGCTGAAAAAGGAGACAAGACAATCACTTCAAGTAGTGGAAAGAACAAAAGATGTGTTCTAAGTCCTTGGGATGTTGAACAGAATCCAATCACACCGGAATGAAAAAGAAGCCAACATGTAAAGAATATACATTTGGCAAGTATATGTTGATGAAGGTTTTGAGCTTATGCTGATTTTATAGAATCACTCCTTGCATTGTTCAATTCAACAAAATAGGCAAAAGACTTGTTTTAATGTTAAACCCGAAACATACAAGGGACATAAAATGATAGTTGCCTGTTATTTTTGTTCAGATCACTTGAAGGGACTGACTCGTTGTCGTTTCTTTCTTCAGCATTATATTTTAGAACAATTTGATTTTCGTTGTTTTTAAACATGTATAGGTACATTACACAAAACCTTTTGCTAGATTCTTGAGAAAGATAAGATAACTTTGTGCTTAAACAGGTGTAGCCTTTCTAATCTGCACATGTTCTTCTGACTTAAAAAATTTATCTGCTGCAGAAAAGGATCCCAAATATTAAGAGGTAAGTTTCATGTATGTTTTGGATTTCTTTGTCTGGAGTGAACAATCTTAAACTTGAAGAGAAGGAGTTAGGGTTCCTTTGTCAGTTCGGATCAATCTTATTTTTCACTTTCCAAGAAATAAATCTTGATCTGTGGCTGTTATTAAGGGGTTTCCATTGGTGCAGTAGTTGTGGGCTTGTGGCGAATGTGCACAAAACTTAATAGGCTATCCAAGTTGGTATAGAAAATGTATTAGGAATCGAAGCTGCTTGTACTCCAAGGTTCTAACTTATTAATTCGAGTCCTTGTAGGATTAGGAAAAATTAATTCGAGTCCTTGTAGGATTAAGAAAAATTAATTAAGCCGCCTATAAATAGAACAAGTCTGTTTATGAGTCCCGAGAATATACAAAGTTTCTCTCATCTACAAATTAGGATTCTTCCATGGATATTGAAGTTGATCATTATGCTGCTTTGGATTTACCCTCCGGTAAGGAAGGGGCAAAGCTTTCTGAAATCGACATATCGAAAGCCTATCGAAAGAGAGCATTAGAATTGCATCCAGATAAGAAACCCGATGATCCAATTAATGCTCACTTCAACTTTCAAAAGCTCAAGGCTTCCTACGACATTCTCAAGGATGAGAAAAAGAGGAGGTTATTTGATGATGTACTCCGTATGAAGCGTGAGATGATCAAACAACAACAACAAGATTCAAAGCGTAGAAAGATGAGGTCAGAGCATATTTTTGTACCTGATATTAATTTGGCTCGACTAGAAGAGGAGGAACAAATTGCTATAAAACTTCTAGGTGAAATTGCTAGAATTCGTGAAATATTGCTTTCAAAGAAAGAGTCATCAGACATGTGTGTTGACAAGGAAAAGGTGCTTAAGGTATCTTGGGGTAAAAGCAGTGAAGATTATACTTGCCAAAAATTGAAAGAGTTATTTAGTAATTTTGGTGAGGTTGAACATGTAATCATGAGTTCTAACAATAAATGTTACGCTCTTGTTGAAATGTTATCTAAGGACGACGCAGCTAAAGCCGTCTCCTCTAGTGTCTTGCACAATCTATTAATTGTGCCTCTTCAGCCTCCAATGCCACCATTTTCTAAAGATGCCGCGGGCTCAAACAATATTAATTTGTAGTGTTGAATTTAATCTAAAATATGATTTGTAATTGTTTCTCTGTAAGGTGATACGCTAGCTTATAATTAGATATATTGTTTATTTGACATTACATGAAGTTTATATTTGTAGTGCTCATTTCAATCTTGTAGAGGTTTTTGATACACTGGTTGCAATGTAGATTATAACTCACCAAATGATTCGAATGGTTGCTTAGGATTCGGAGATACAAGCACTAGGTTGTCATGTTTTTCACGCGATTACCAGCCCTTGTCTTTGCCAAATTTAAGTCCTTGTAGCTCGTTAAATGTTCTCATACTTAAGTCTGCTTATTTTTTCTGTCGCTGTTATAAGGGGTTTCCAAGATGAATGCTGGCTGCACATTCATATTCTTTTCTTATTTCTTCCATTTAAAGTGTAATGACTTTGGTTGATATGATACTTGATTTTGTGACAATCTCATTGATGTCTTACTAATAGACTTACCTAAAAACTGTATGAAACTTAAGTCACCTCTGGCTAAGGGGGCAATGAACAGATTACTGTTAATGCTTGTGATGATTTCAATGCTCATTTTATTTGTTCATATGATTATTGTATATGAGACTTGTTCTAAACTAAGAGTCAGTTGATTAGTACATAGCTAAAACTGTTTCTTGGATGTCATCTGATTGTATATGAGACTTGTTCTATACTCAACATCAGTTAATTAGTACTTAACTAAAACTGTTACTTCATTATTTATTCCTACTTCTCTCCATGAGTAGCTCTGTTTTCTTGGCTGGTGAATATTATAAAAGGCAACTTTTGTGTTCTGAAAATATGGTCATCACCTTGTCAAAAGGTAGAGTTCTTTGTTTTTAAAATCTAACGGAGGCATGGTAGTTTAGATCTTCTCTGGTGCTTTAATCTTGCATAATATATATTATACTTACCCCACCCACATACACACACACACACACACTCACACATACAATCATGTTTAATCAGAGTTTTAATGCTTTCTTTCTATGTTATTATTTGCTTATTATGGTGCTGATTTGTCCTTTGTTTGGTGCTACTTGCATAATTTTCTTCAGTGACTTGCTGTAAAATATTTAGCCACTCTGACCGGTGTTAACAATTCCTGGTTGCATTTTACGTGATCTCACATACAGTTTTTTTTTCTTGTTCAGTTACCGTTGGATGTAGTGGCTACCCGATAAGCCACACTGTCAATGATCACCCATCTGCTGCACTTCGCCCTACCAAAAGAGCCCGGGATGTTGAACCCAACTATAGCCAGCAAAAGCTTCAGATATCATTGAATAACAACTTTGGTCAGAATGAAGTGGATCAAGCTGGAAGTATTTTGAATCCAATTACTGTATCAACTGGACTTAGACTTTCTTATGAGGAAAAAGAACGCAATTCATCAGTCACTTCTGCTCCTGAAAACATGAAAGCAGCCCTCCCTGCTCGTCTACCAATAGACAGTGGTTTTAAATATGAGATTGACAGGCAAAGAGAAGAATTTGACCACTACATGAAAGTGCAGGTAATGTATTCATTAACTTGGTCTGAAGTTTGGCATATCAACCTTTAGATTGATCTGGATTAACCCATACAATGTGTCGTAAAAAGAACTTATGGTTTTCTCCTATCCATTTTTGATATCTGTACACCTACTGGGAAAGGGGCTGACATGCATTTAGTCATTATTATGCATCCTTTGATATGCTGGGATTGACTTGTAAATGTTGTTTATTACATGAGTAAGAGCATAAGTAGGAGCATTTCTATCTTTTCAGTATCACAAAGGTCTGTGTCTCCAACTTATATCTGTGAATCGGTCAAATGTTGGTAGTTCAGGGCATTAAAGAGTATAAGAAATGACTTGGATGTGGATACTGATACTGACATAGATTTTCTGCATTGAATTACTGTTATATTGAAATTTTAGTCCTTGGGCACTTCTGATTCATCCTTGGTAACTCAGGAAGATAATATGATGAAGGGCATGAGGGAGTTGGTTCATCGACAGACAGTATCTTTACTGAATTCCTTGCAAAAAGAAGTTAGCAGGAAGTTATATGAGAAAGATGTTGAAATAGACAATATGAACCGCAAGAACAGGGAGCTTGGGGAGAGAATTAGGCAGATTACTGTAGAAGCTCAGTCATGGCATTACAGAGCAAAGTACAACGAGTCTGTTGTTAATGCCCTGAAAAGCAATATTCAGCAGGCCATGGCCCATGGTTCCATGCAAGCTAAGGAAGGGTGTGGAGATAGTGAAGTAAATGATGCTGCCTCAAGTACAAACTACCATCTGGCAAGTGGTTCACATGACCAAGTACCCAATATACATCAACTAAAATGCTGCAGAGCTTGCAAGAGTAAAGAAGCCAATGTCTTGTTAGTTCCATGCAGGCACTTGTGTCTTTGTAAAGAATGCGAAGTGTTTATTGATAGTTGCCCAGTATGCCAGGTAATGAAGACTGCAAGTGTTCAAGTTTACATGTCATGAAAGACGTACGTATATACGAACACTTGCACTCATCATAATCTTTTGTGTTTTGAAGAAGAATGTTTAAATTACGTAATGTTACAAAATCATGAATTGTGGATGCCTTAACTATATGAAAATACAGATCAGTTGAAACAAGGATGGTCTTTTAACTGGCTTGCAGATTGTTTGCTTTTTTTTATGCTCTTCTTTTTTAGTCTTTGCATGTGCATTGAAGACCACTTCACTATGACAAATGGTAGCTCTGGATACCTGCAAGTTGCAAGTAGTGACAAAAATGGCAAAGATGCTTATGGTATTTGAATAAAGAAGCCATTTCTTTTCCTTCTTTAAATATAAGAATGTGAATATATATATCATGAATCTGTCTAGATGCATTCTTTCAAAGTATCCTAAATAGAGTGATGTATACTTTAATGACTACTAATTTGTTTTTATCTTAACGAAGAGAAGGAAAAAAAAAATAAGGAAGAAAACCTAACTTGAGGAGAAGTGCGTTTTTGCTTTTATAGTGCGATGGGTCAAATTATTGACTAATTGGTGGCCTTGTTTGTGTTAGGAACGATCTTTGTAGTCATTAAATAGGTATAACTTCTTGTACCAATAAATAAATAATTTTGGTGGAAATGACTAAACTTTTGCATATGATCTTTTAACTAAACGTTCTATTTTACTCCCGTTGTTCCAAACTAAACTTTTAGTAGCAGTTTTATGTCAATCACGAAAAGTTATTACAAATGTTCCTCCAAATAACACATTTTTTAATGTTTGTGTTTAGTTGAATTAAGAAAATAAAACTGGTTTAAATTTTAGAAGAGGGAGTAAAAGTTTGCAATGGTGTGTGAGGATTGAGGAATATAGCAGCAAATTTGCATAGAATCAATGTCTTGGAAATTGCGGGGCGATTTATATTATAGAGATATGAGTTTTGGATGTGATGATGCTAAATAAAATACAACAAAAATGTTCCTATCAAAATTGTCTCACTTTCTAGGACTTGATGTATTATTCAATTAATCTCAATTATGCCATTTACATTAAATAATTAAGTTTAATATACCATCCCAAAAAAACTAAGTTTAATACTACTCATTTTCAAATGTGAGAACCAAGTATTTCAAAAGTTAAAATATTCATAAAATTTAAGACCTGAAGTTTGATCTATATACTATTCAATCTTTCCAGAAAATAATTTACCAATCAGATCCAACAAATTTGTCCTCACCCAACTACCTATATTCACCAACCCCAACCCACAATTTAAAATACCATTGAAAAAGCACCCCCAAAGTTACCAAAAATACCTAGAATATCCCTCCCCTTACTTTTCTGTTTACAATCTGTCTTCACGTCTCACGTCTCACGTCTCACGACTCACGCCTCGACGGAGTCCCCAACGTCTCCTCTCCCCCAACACACTTTATATTCATTTCCCTCATCCTCCTTCTTCTACTCTTCTTACTCTCTCTGCAGCAAATTCTTCGATCTGATTCGCCAAAATGCAGAGCACAGCAATCTCGTTTTCTCCGTCAATTTCACTCCCTAAGAAGCCTCACAAGCCGTCTGGTTCCGCTTCGCTTTGTAGATTCAATCCTTTATCTCAGCCGCTTCGTTTTGGGTCCCTAAATGGTTCAACAGCGAGGAAAATCAATCCGATTAGTTGCTCAGCGGATTCTTCTTCGTCCAAGTTGAATCGTAATGGATGGATTTCAGTTCCGGCTCCGGTTCCAGAGCGTGAATCGGATGGAATGGAGGTTCGAGCCACGTCTGTACCGGAGAGCGCTGGAGAGGCACCCAAATCTAAGCCTATGACGGAAACTATGGTGCTCGGATCTCTTTTCGGGCTTTGGTATCTATTTAACATCTACTTCAATATTTACAACAAACAGGTATACTTTCTGTTTCTAATCCTGCTTGTATTCATGAATAAGTATAGCTGATCTATTTGTTGCTTATACCACTTGTTCGTACGTGTTGTGATTTTGCTTCCTTGTGGTTGAGAATGCTTTTATTGTATGTGTAAATGCATGCATGTATTGCTATTTGTGAGGATTTCCAAGGCATGAATCGTTTTAAAATTTTAGAATATCGATTTAACTTTTTTCCTTGTTTAGGAATTATCTATTCCCACTGCATTTAAGTTTGCAAATTGAGCCGTTTTCTAATAGATTGCAAATTAATTGAAGTGATTTTGAATCTCTTCACTGTCATATGTAAGATGTCCTCGGAAATGTGATTTGCTTAGAGAATGAAACTGTAGATTACTCAGTACATGTTTCTTGAATGTGAACATGGCTGCTAATAGAAAGTTAAATTTTGCCTTTCGGCTTGTCAAGTTGCGTCATTGTCTCATTGATTACATGTTGCTGTATTCTATAGGTGCTGAAAGCATTCCCTTACCCAGTTACAGTGACTCTCGCACAATTTGCTGTTGGCTCTGTCCTTGTAATTCTTATGTGGACTCTCAATCTATACAAAAGACCTAAAATCAGTGGTGCACAGGTAACTTCATTGAGACAAATTAACTACGGTTTGGGGTTAGACCTGATTATGTGGATGTGTTCTAATTTTAAATTTTCAATTGGCAGCTTGTTGCAATTTTGCCATTGGCAGCGGTGCATACCTTGGGCAACCTTTTCACCAACATGAGTCTTGGAAAAGTTTCTGTGTCATTCACTCACACTATCAAAGCTATGGAGCCATTCTTCTCTGTTGTCCTCTCTGCTATGTTCTTAGGCGAGGTGTGCTTTAGATGAATGTCCTTTATATTTCTATATAAATATCTTGTATTCATTTGTGACAGCAGGGCGAAGCAACTATTTATCAATTTCTTCTTCCATATATTTTCATCTTAATTCAGATTATATTTATGCCTCCACTACTTTAAAAAGAAAAAAAAGTTCACTTCAATTTAGTTGTTTGTCTACTGTCTGTGTTATTATAGTTAATGACATTGGATTATCTTGTTCACGCAGTTCCCTACCTTATGGGTTTTATCTTCTCTTCTACCAATTGTTGGTGGAGTGGGACTGGCATCAATGACTGAGGCATCTTTTAATTGGTGAGGGATTCAAATGTTCTGTGCTTATATAATACCATATGATTTTGTCGCTAGTTTAGTATATAAGTGGGAGATACTTTAGATCAAGTTTTATTCCAAAATTTTATATTCAAATCATGTGTTGTTGATTGCTAGGGCTGGATTTTGGAGTGCAATGGCCTCTAATTTAACCAATCAATCTCGTAATGTCCTCAGCAAGAAGTTTATGGTTCGGAAAGAGGTAATTTTGGTCTGTTTCATGCTATTAGATGAGGGTATGAAGAAAATATGTACCCAAAGTTGAAGGTTTCTTTGGTTGATGTTTCAAGCTTATATGAAATGTTAGTTGTAAGAGAAAACTATGTGGGTTCTTTTCGAAAATTCTTTTCCATTTTTCATCAAGTAACTATCTTGTTTCTGGATTAACCTTATTGCATTTACTTGACAAAACCCAAGTTTCTTACTAGTCTTCTTTGGTTTCTGAAATGCTGTGAAGTTTACATTTCCAATTTTTTCTCTTCAGGAGTCATTGGATAACATTACTCTCTTTTCTATAATCACTATCATGTCCCTTTTCTTGCTGGCCCCATACGCCTTTTTCACGGAAGGTGTCAAGTTCACTCCTGCGTACCTGGAAGCTGCAGTAAGTGATATATAAAGTGGATTTTTTTATTGTTTCTACCCCTTTGCTTACTCTGTGTCTTTTTTCATTGTTCCGTTGGACAGAAATTGCAGAAACTATTTTAAAATTTTTTCATTATTTTCCTTTGGTGCTAGGGATTGAATGTGAACCAGCTTTACACAAGGTCTCTCATTGCTGCTCTCTGCTTCCATGCTTATCAGCAGGTATAAGAATTCTGCATTCGGTTTCTCATTGATTCCTTGGAGTCCTATAACATGATTCAATTCAAATTCTAGCATACCTTAGTGAGAACACACAAAATTTATGTTGCTACAGTGATACAGGGTTATGCGAGATCTAATTAATGCTTTTTTGGTCCACTTCATCGTTAGATAAGACCTTGACATAATTTGTGTAAAATACTGTACTTTGATTTTGTGCTGTTCTGTTGCTTGCAATTTGTGGTTGCATGGTGTTACGTTGTTCTAGTAAAGGATAGAACCTCCCTTTCCCTGCCATCTGTTTTGGACAGTATCAAACATGCTGGAAGTGCATATTCCTATCAACTGTAGACCGATTTGAAACACATGGCTCTTCCTTTCTATCTCCTTAATCATAGTTGTTTCCTGCCTGCCTTATTTGAATATAGGTCCATGCGATTTTTTTCGACTTCACACTGAAGCAATCCGTTTGAAAAAATTGAAGATTTATATGAGGGAGAAAAGCTTCAAATTGCATGCTTTTAAATGTCAGAAAGACTCGGAAAATTTGAAAACACACAGGTGGATATTTCATCTGTTGGCGAATTTCGGCTATGATCAATGGCCATTTTAATGCAGAATTGGTTAAAAGTTTCTCTTACAGTTATATACTCATGGCTGTGTGAACTGCAAATCAGCAGCTTGGCTTGCTTGAGTAGAATTCCTTTTTTTTAAAATGTAATTCACAAACCAATGTGACAAAATTTGATGAATTACTGAAAAATTGTGACAACTGCTGGTTATGTTATTTCTTGCTGACACTGTATTTTTGGTGCAGGTTTCTTACATGATATTGCAGAGGGTATCGCCTGTTACTCATTCTGTGGGTAACTGTGTGAAGCGAGTGGTGGTTATTGTGACTTCCGTTCTCTTCTTCCGCACACCTGTATCTCCTATTAATGGTTTGGGTATGACACCTTACACTTTATACTTGTCAACCTATTGCTGATTGAGAAACCCCCTTTCCCCTTTTCACTCCTTCCTGTTGACAGCTCGAGTGATAATGTTTTGTTGAATATAAAAAGGTAGTAATTACCTTTTTTATATTTTTTTCACAATAGAGAAATCAATTTCTTCCTTTCTGATGTAGGAACTGGAATTGCCCTTGGTGGAGTTTTCCTATATTCAAGGGTGAAGCGCATTAAGTCTAAGGCAAAAACAGAATGAAATCTCAATCAATTTTGATGGTAGATTATGATCATTAGACGGATGACCA